GGTCCCCCACACACACACCACACACACACACACACACACACACCACACACACACACACACACACACACACACACACACACACACACACACACACACCCCACACACACACACACACACACACACACACACCACACACACACCACACACACACCACACACACACACACACACACACACACACACACACACACACACACACACACACACACACACACACACACACACCACACACACACACACCACACACACACACACACACACACACACACACACACACACACGAGTCAGAGAGAGCCAAGCTGACGTCACCCCATTCGCTCAATGTCAATTACGTAATCAAGGGGTCCAACGCCTGCAGGACGGGCATACTTTGTGTGTGTTTTTATTTGTGTGTGTGTGATCGCATGCGGGGCGAGAACACATAATTGCAATCTCATGTGCGAGAGGAGACATAAAATGAGGCATGCTGATGACATCATTAGCGGGAGGCGGTGACATGGCGAGAGTGTTTGGGCAGAAGAGGAGGAGACGGAGCGCTGCAAACAGGAGTTACGCAACACAAATCAAACTCAACAGACTAGAAAGGGCCTTTTTTTGCCTTTTCTCCGTGTGTGTACAGTGTTATACACAGTGTGTGTGTTAAGTGACTTTCCGCTCACACTTTTACTTGAGGCGAGGAGTGCATTAAAAACACACAAGCACACTGCACTGAAATCTACACACACACATATACATACAGCCTCTCTCCACCCCTCTACTTATAAACAAAGCTTCCTAAGGACAGGAAATCCTTCCACCCACGTTCCTGTGTTGCTCGGCAACCAGAGCAGCGTCACCGTGTGCATGCCTCCACCGCTGAAGACAACACACGAAGACGCGCAGAAACAGCAACTCCTTGAACTCCTTTGAAATGTACAGATAGCCGCGCCAAAAAAAAAAGGAAAAAAAAGGCTAATACTCGACACAGCTGCCCTCCCATTCGTCAGCTATGGACCTAAACCAAACATGACATCACTCCTTGTAAATATAAAACCCTTTTCCCCTCCGTTTATTAAGTCTATTTTTACACCCGCTGACGTCTTTCCATATTGCTACTCTGTATGTGTATTTGTGTGCACGTGTGAGAGTGCGAACAGCAATAGCTCAGTATGAATCAGTACAGAGAGGCTAATTGAGCCGAGTTGCCCGTCACTGTTGACAATGAACCCATTCTGAATCAGCAGGAGGCCTATTGAAGACAATTATAACCTGGGGGATTCAGAAGAGCATTATTCTTCCAAGCCATGTTGGCCACTCAGGCTGGCTCTGTTTTCACTGCTATTTAAAACCTCACTTTTAATTCTTCGGTTATTTTACCATATGAACCAGCACATGAAAGGTGAAGAAAAGATGGAAAATAAATAATGAACTACTGCAAACTCAGTAATCCACTTTTTTTGGGAAACCAAACAGAAAGTGGCACAAAATGTGTAAAACAGCATGATCTGTTTTATAGTGAAACAAAGTGGGTCCAAAAGTCACTCTCTGTTACAGCTGGTAAGTAACCGTAAAGACATCATAGTCTATTTGTGTTGCCTGTTCTTCAAATGTCAGTTTAGAAAGTCAACACAGGTCACACTTAATTTTTAAAAAAGTGAGCAATTAAAAAATGGGTATGTTAGGGCGTTGATGGTCCCTTAATGCAGCTCACCAAGGGGTTCAATATTGCACATTTTAGAGCCATAGTTTAAAACAATTTGATTCGGGATCATTTGGTTAAGATGCATTAGCTGTGAAAAGAAATGTCACAAATAAAAAAAAGCCTCCTGGAGTCTTAGTGGGTTAGATGCATAGAACCGCAACGGCATTGGTTCAATTGCAGCAGTTGTTGCATCTCCTAAACCCCTGACTTACAAAGCATGACCTACAAAGTAAGGGTCACATGGGGTAACCATGCGCAAACTACCGCTAACGAGCTAACCAGATAGCATGTTTATTGCTGAATCGCTATTATTGGTAGACTGGTTCCGGACCTCCCGATTGGTTCATAAATTCAAAAAGGTCTGTTGTTGTTCGGTCCACCTATCAGAGCTTTGTAGTCTTTATTTAACTTATCATTATGAAGTAAATGTTCAGTGCTGTAGAGTAATGACACCATTAGCGTTTTTCTTTAAGACATGATCTATCTTCGCAATTCTGTCGGACATAATGTACGATATCTCGGGAAAATTAAGGCTTGATTTACGGTACGAAGGAAGTGCGCCAACCATTGCTCAAGCTAAACAGGAAGAGGTTATATTATTGTTTTTCCTTGTAGCAATTGGTAGCATTGACCAGTTACCAAATCTCCAGTAGTGGATATGGTTAGATGCAAACTGTCATCCCCTGTGCAGTTTTGTCCGCACCTTAAAAATATTAAAGTACATAGTCTAAATAAGTCCAAACAAGTTGCTATATTTGTCACAGCTATACAGCAGCACTAACTTTAATACCAATTAGAAATGTGAGGGAGAGAAAAATGAAAAGTTAGACAAGACTTTCAAATGAGTTATCTATATTTAGTGGCCTTGGGAAATAAACCCATGGTAACATTATCGGCAGCACCATGAGGTACTATGAATGACATCAGTGGATGCATCTTGACATTGCTGCAGCTTTGGTAAACAACTTATTGAACTATTTGACCATATATACAAATTAACAACACAATGAAGCGTTTAGCAGTGACATGCCAAGATACAATGTCAAAACTCTTTGTCCTCTTTTCAGTGAGTAAACAATCCACAAAGGCCAAAGCGTAGGTGCTCGCCTATAAAAGGAAACAAAGATATGTGTATCTCTTTTGCTGATAAGGTGCACTTCTGTAGTGTTTACTTCTTAGAACTACATGAAGTCTGGCGGTACACTTTTTGTTCCTGACTGTGTAGGGCTGCTCGATTATGGCAAAAATCATAATCTCGATTATTTGGGTCAATAATTGTAATTGCGATTATTAAATGCGATTATTCATTGACTTTGAAAATATCCATTTATTGGAGGAGAAAAAAATGTGAACAGTATGTTTTTAACAGTTGATTACCCTGAACGTTAAGTATAATTCAACTGAAAAACCAAAAAAAAAAAAAGTATTACAAAAAAATTAAATAAAGTAATAATAATAATAAAAAAATAATCGTTTTATTTCGATTACGTTGTTTTCGTAATCGTTACAAGCCATAATCGTAATCGCGATTAAAATACGATTAATTGAGCAGCCCTATGACTGTGCATGTTCTGCCATATGGCTCCTGGGGCCACAGCTGACCAAAGCACAGCAGTGGGTCATCGTGTAGCTCCAGGCACGGCTAATACAATCAGAACTATTTAAAAAGAGCCGCTTTAGAGTATTTACGCTGAATAAATCATGCGCTAGCGTCTGTGCTTTTATTCAAAACACAGACTGTTCAATGCATTCACACATGAATTATAGATCCATTATGGACTGTTTGGGTTGTGTTCAGGGAATCCGACTAACAACAGTTGTTCCGAGCGCACTAACCCACTGAGCCATCCATACCAATTATCTGTGTCCAGGGTGGAGTCTGAATTCAATATTCAATTTACACAATTCAATCTCACATCAGAGCCTCAAAGCTGGAATAAGAAGTGGCGTCTAAAAGGGCCGGACAAAAACAGAGCGGGGTCTTCGGAGAATCACAACTGTCTCCAAAGTGAAAAAGAAGCGGGCTAACTGAACGCCACACCACAGGGGTGTCCATTGAGAGACAGGGAGAGGTGGAGGGGCGAGAACTCCATTGAACGCAGCCATGGGGGGTCAATATGTGAATGAACGTTTGGCATGGAGGTGAATTATGAATGAGCAGCACTCTGAGCGCTCCTGGAGAGAGCATGTCAGCCCCCGTCTCCTCCACTTTCCTCCCATCTCTCCTCCTCCTTCCTGTCCTAAAAACCTCCATCTTCCGTCTCGGTTTCATCCCTCGCCACTGGATTAATCTCCTCATCTGCCTTATTCTCCGTCATCTGATCGCTCTTCCTCCCCCCTTTACTTAACCCTTCTTCATCTCCAGACCAGGAGGAAGGGGAGAGGAAAGGGGGGAGGGCAGAGGTAGACACACACGCCGTCTGTCTGAAGAGACGACAGAACATTTGTTTTCCTGCACATACATATTTACACAGCCTCAGATGGCTACACACACATTTTTGAGACACACACACACACACACACACACACACAGGAGCAAAAGATAATATAGAAGCAAACAGTCCTGCACGTGCAAAGGCCGCCGCATGCATTAAGTGAAAGGCTCTCAGGCACTGACACACACATTTCTCCCAGCTGTTATGCTGGCCACAGAGCTTGTGTGTCTGAGTGTGTGCGTGTAGTCGTCTGTGTGTAATCCAATGTGCTGCTGCTCAGCCTGTGCCACGCTCTCTCCTCTGTTGCTGTGCGTCTGATCAGATCTGCCTCCCCTCAACCTGTTTGCCGTATATGGCACACATGCACGCGCACCCTTACACACATATATCACACACACACAAGGAGCTGCTACTACGTATCAAGCCTCATTCAGTGTCAACCAGGAACACAGCAAATCCACTCTGTGCTGCTGAAGCAACCTCCAACCAGAAACTGTGTCAATAAACTCTGCTCACACACACAGTGGAGGAAAAATGGGACTTAACTTCAAGTAGCCTACCTAAGAAGTGTGTGCTGGAATGGGATCAGTGTGTTCCTTAAAAAGTATCTACTCCTTTAGATCCCTTCACTCCAGTTCACAACGGTCAGCTCGGCTCGCTTACACCACTTTGGGTCCCCTTTATAGCTGGTGGAAAAACAACCCGAAAAACTCTCACAAATGTATATTTAGGCTAAACAGACACTGAGCCACACACATTTTTGCCCACCCCTCACACAGACACACACCTCCACTCTCCCCTTTAAGTGCAGAGCCAAGCAGCACGTGTCAACACCCCGCACACACACCTTCTCCAGACCCTGCATAGAAAGACCCATAAAGTCACCTTAGGATCTTTCTGTGTTCCAGACGAGCCCCTTCTTCACAGTCTTCCTCTCCTCTGTCAGACTTCTCTCCTCCTCTCCTTCCGTCCTTCCGTCCTTCTTTCCGTCCGTCCTTTTTTCTCTCTTCTTTCTTTCCCTATTTTTCGTCTCGGTTCTCGGTCAGTTCCCAGCGTTTCTCCCGAGCCCCTCCATATCCGCCCCGCCAGTCGTTTCTACCACCGAGCGAGCGTACCTTCACACACACACAAACACACACGCGCGCGCACACACACACGAGCCGCTGCGTTCCTATAGTCTCTCCCTCTGTTTATCCCCTCTCTCCCCTCTGTCGGAGAAGAGCTCGCAGAGTGTGTGTGAGTGCGTGTTTGTGTATGCTTGTGTGCGGGGACGTGTGTGTTTCTGTGCTCTGCTTTGCCCCGCCAGCAGCAGAGAGAGGACTTCCCCCGGAGCCCGCCCCGGGTCCTAGCGCCGGTCAATTTCACTGAAAGAATGCCATTGTGTACGGAAGGTATAAACAAAGATCGTCTATGGTTTTGACAACACCATGCACACATTTTTGGGCTTATTTTGCATCTTTGATTTTGTTCCTATAATATTACCAAAAAGCTTTACATATATTATAATTATGTATAATATAATACAGATAGCTTGCACATCTTCCGGCGCAAACTGAAAACTCATCTCTTTCGACTCCACTTCGAGCGATAGAACTATTAACGAAGCACTTTTATACTAATAAAGGACTGGCTTATCTAAAGCCAGTTGAGTAGCACTTGAAATGTTTTTGCTCTATGAAACCTGATGTACTTATATGATTCTGTTTTCTTCAAGTTGTATTTTGTTGGACGAACGCACTTATTGTAAGTCGCTTTGGATAAAAGCGTCAGCTAAATGCAATGTAATGTAATGTAATGTAATAATTATAATAAATACATTACACAATAATGTTAACATGGCTATACAATTTAGAATTGAATTGAAGTGAAAAAAGGGGCTGTTCATTTCATATTTAGAAATAATAGCCTACAAAATATTTGAAGAAGAGACTTGTCTTCAACAAAGTCTGTTTTGGAGTATACACACACACACACACACACACAACACACCAACATCATACAATACAATATAGGCAATTAAGAGAATAAATGAATAAAACCACACAAAAAGCGTTGGCCTTATGTGTAATAATTGTTGTGTCAGTGCAGGAAAAATAAACATCAGAAGCATATAACTTTCCAGACACCACAAACATAATTAGCAAAATGCATACAGGCACATATTTACAGGCCATCTGCAGAAACAGATAGATAAATGAGCAGTGCTATGGATAACTGCTGTTCAACCCCATCTACGGCTCATTTAGAACAGTTAACATCCAAAAGGTAAAATGTAGGTTTTCATCAGTAAGTTGTTTTGAGTCTATACCAGAGTGGTCGCTATGGCAACAGCAGGGCAGTAGCTGAGGCAGAGAGCCATGCAAGGGTGCAGGAACCATTACAGGACGGAGGATGGAGGGGACATGCCCTCTGCATATGATCACGTCTGTAAGACCTGATTTGTTCAGATAATAAAGCACTATTTTCACGTTGTCTGCGTATGTCAGGGCCTAGTCAAGCCTTTACAAACCTCTTCCTTTATATTGTGTGTGCAAATCCATCTCAGGTCCCTCCACTCATACACACACATATTATCCCCCCCTCTTCCACTTTATGTGTGAAAAAAATAAGACTGCAAATGTGAGCAATGGCATACAGCTCTTGTATTTTGAATCGAGTGAGTCATCCTATCAAATGTACCTGATCTTTGGTGCAGCTACCTTCTTCCTCATCTCCCTGCACCTCCCTCTCTTTTCTCCCTCCAAGCGTCATCAGGTTGCCATAGCAACGGCCCGCCTATGGGAGACAGAGATCAGATCATTATGGACCCTGGGATCCAGAAACTGAAGGACATGATTTTTATTTATTTTTCTGCAAACACAGGAAGTGGGAACCCTTAACAAGGAAGCTTGAACTCATTCTTAGTTAAACACCCAGAGCACTGCATTGTTTTTGCAGAGGGAAGTTTTGCTGGGTGCTGTTTGGGGTGAAAATGAGCTCTGGTAATCCATTTAAACCCTTCAAAAATACAAGTAATGCCTGTCTAGAATCCTGGCACGTTGCTAAAAATAAACCACATTTAATTAGATATGCAAATGAAGTGTTTCAAGATGTAAACATGTTGCCCCAAGAAACGGTTAACCAGAACTTGCTCGCACACTTCTGAATTAATGGATCTGACAGACGTGGCAGTGATCGGCCTACTGAAAGCACACAGTCAGGAAATCCAAATGGGCTCTCATTTTATTTATGGGTGGGGAAATCGAAGTGGGAAAAGTGCATTGCAGCATGTTCAAGTTGAGAGATGGAAGCATAAAATACACCAAGGAAAGTGTTTTTGTTTGATAAAGATCAAAGAGAATTGTTGGGAGAAAGAAGTGTGAATCCAGTCTGCCTCTCCCTGCCCCTATTATTAGTGGGAGGCCTTTCTCTACCTTTCTGTTTGTTTAGTTTGGTCTGTTTCTCTGTTCTGGGGGAAACAGACCTGAGCATGGGACACATCTGGGGCTGTGTGTGTGTGTGTGTGTGTGTGTGTGTGTGTGTGTGTGTGTGTGTGTGTGTGTGTGTGTGTGTGTGTGTGTGTGTGTGTGTGTGTGTGTGTGTGTGTGTGTGTGTGTGTGTGTGTGTGTGTGTGTGTGTGTGTGTGTGTGTTTGCACTGAGAGCCTAGAGGGCTGCATTAAGCTGAAGTGACAGTGGGGATCTTTAAGATGACTCCCAAAGAGATCTTATCTCTGAGCCCCAAAAAACGGCCAAGAAGAGGAGAGGAGAGGAAGAAATGACATGATATGATAGGAGAGGAGAGATGAAAGACAACAGAAAAACTGGGTTAGCAAGCAAGGAAGGGTCCAGGTAAGGTAAGATTAAGCCCCGATATATGTGATGCTCTTTACGGTACAAAAGTACAATGGAATTGGCTCAGCTGTTTATCTGCAGAAAATCAAGGTAAAGTGTTCCAAGATGTTGCAAATTTGGCTGGGTTTTTTCGACTGAAGAGTTGGGAATCAAATCCTGGCGAACAGAATGAGCGATATCCATTTACATCTGGTATCAACATGCAATCTGTATCTTAGTTATCTTAATAACAACATCTGATCATGGGTCGTTGCATGTACGTCTGCTATTAAAAAGTGTGGTAATGTTCTTGTTAATGCCATCATGCCCACATTTTGATTATACACAACAGTTTCAGTGAAGCAGTCGTTGGCAATGGAAATCATGGCTCCCTCCAACAATGCTCATTAAATATGTATTAAAATGAAAATCACACAAGTAGAGCAGTATGGAAATCCAAGACATTAAATAGTGCAACTTACAGTCAGTACATTAGTTAGGTGGGGCCGTCGTACTAGTTGACAAACACAATGGGTTGTCGGGCAGATTTGTTTTAGAAAGGCCCTAAAAACGACTTTGTATCAACTTTTTTAAAGCTTTAGGGAACTGGCCACATTTGTTAGAGTTTAAACCAGACCAGACCAAGAAGACATTCAGACACATCCAAATGTCTGACAAAAATGATAGCATTTCATCAGGACTCTGACATGAGTTTGGACATGAACATGAACTTGCCTGATTTTAACCAAACGATTTTGGCTAGTATTTGGGAAATGTTACGCAAGGTTAGAATGAACGCCATCCTATGGTTTCACATTAATGTGCAGAGTTTTTAGCTGAGGTCTGACCAGGAACATTTGATACCTAGTTAGAAAACCATTAGATCCTAGAGATGTGCAGTGATGACTTATTTTTTAATGGGGGTAGGAAGTTAGCATAGCAAGTGCTTCCCTGACAAAAGCAATGTGGCTTTTGGAATATTGCAGAAAATAAGATATTTGGCAAATGTTTATGATATCACACATTTTGTTAATCAGGATAATCTCCACATATTAACAACACTCGATGATTTTTGAAGCGTGAATGCAATCACCAGAAGTAAATGACTTCATTTCACCACCGCTAAGCTAAATGCAGACTCGTGTTTGGCGGGATGAAGTTTAGTTGTCTCATTTAGCAACTGCTGTCCGACACATAGAAGCATAACACGTTCAAGTAGTGGGGTATTTAATGACGTATATTATGCCGTAGAACAAACCGTAAAATTATGTTATGCTTGTGTTAACCTCAGACTTTATTTCAGACATCCAATCAAAATAAGTTAAAATAACCATTGACTTCAAGACGAGGGAACCAGGAGCAGTAAATGCTGACTCATTTGGAACTCATTCCTGCACCACTCTATTTTGGAAGAAGACAGCACAACAAGAATACGTACCTAAAAGAGCACCAGTTAAATAAAATATTGTATTGAAATATGTCATTTATGTTTGTTCCATGCATTCATATATTATAAGTGCAGAACATCAGAGATGTATGGAGCGTTGAGGAGACATTTCATATATGTATATTATCATATCTCTTCAGTTGAGCTGAAGCGTCATTGGACGTTCGAGTCACATGCTTGATGTGTTTAATCATTTTGATCACTTAAACTGCTTCCATTGTGTTTTGATTTTATCAATAAAAAAAATATTTCACCTTAGGAAAGCTTAAAAATGTTTGACTGAACTTCTGGGTTTTCCACGCAGGTTTTTTTATTCGCATATAGAACATGCAGATAAAAACAGATGCATGGAAAAGCACGTAATGTATTTTCTGAACAATATTAACTCTATCAGTCATGGGGTTTGTATGACAAATAGCTTTTTTCCTGCATTCAAATAACACTTACATGACCACAGTTTTATTTGTTGGTTATGTTACCAGGATCCAGCTGGACAACACATGCTTAAACAAACAAATTGCAGTGGTCATTTTGGTGGGTTTAACAGTTAGAGATTAACGCTAATGGTAACAGGGTGAAATGCTGAATCTAACATTCACATTCACATGTAATATGCACTTACTGTAAGTACTCTGACGCAGACACGTATACAGCTCAGAGAAAGTGAGCGGCCTGGGAGGCGTCCACCCATTCATGATCCTTCATTCTTTAAATGGGGCTGCCATCTTGGCCTGTCTACCCGGAGGCCTCAGCCAGGCGGAGGGGTGGGTCAGCAATCATGTGTGTGACAGGAAACAGGCAGGCGTATTGGCTGTCAATCAAACAGCCTCTTTATTTCCTCTCCTCCATGTGCGTTTCTCCGGCTTCTCACTGTCTCTTTTTTTCTCACCCCGGATCTCCCTCAAGTCTGACAAGCAAAAAAGATTTTCACTTACTTCAGAGAGGGAAAATAAGTGAGAGCCGGGTGTTAGCGTCTTCCTGTCTCCTTTTACCATTCCCTCTCTTCCTCACAC